TGTGGGTCCCCAGATGTTTTGGCCTTCAACTCCCAGAAATCCTAACAGTAGGTAAATTGCCTGGGGTTTCTGGGAGTTGTAGGCCAAAATACCTGGGGACCCACAGGTTGAGAACCACTGCTCTAGCTCTAGCTCTTGTTCTTGCTCTAGCTCTTCCTCTTCCTCTTGATAGCATAGAGGTTAACATTCCTATGTTGTTTGTTTTCCTGTCTGTGCCCCTCTTCAGAATATATCATCTCACCTTCTGTCTCTGTAATAATTGGAAAACATTGGCTTGTTGTGGAAACAAGGATTGATGATAAAGTTTCAGTGGAGTTTTGGAAAGGCAAGACTACTCTCCCTCCTTCTCCATTAATGGAGTGCAAATTACTTTTATGGTGTAAACTCAATTTGCAGCAATTGGAATAAAGCCAGGATAAAGGAGGAGAGTGGGAAGAGAGAGAAATCTAAATGTTTTCACAGCAACTGCAAACATGGGACAGGAGAGGATTAACTGGAGCTGTCCTTGCCAAATCAGGTAGTCTTTGGCCCCTTCTACACTGCCATGTAAAATCCAGATTATATGCTTTGAACTGGATAATATGGCAGTGTAGACTCATATAATCCAGATTAAACCAGATAATGTGGATTATCTGCTTTGATAATCTGGATTTTATGGCAGTGTAGAAGGGACCTATGTTGCTGATGGGGTCAGATCAAGATTTCTTATGTTGTAGAGCACTGAATGAAGAAGGTCTGGAAGGTGGGTCAAGAAAGTACTCCCATCTGCTACTGAGCCATAGATGGTTAATAGTTTTTGTGACCATTTCCGATACCTTGGCAGCCACCTCTCCACCAAAGTCAACATCGACACTGAAATACAACACTGCCTGAGCTCTGCGAGTGTAGCATTTTTCCATATGAAGCAGAGAGTGTTTGAGGATTGGGACATCTGTAGGGATACCAAGGTGCTTGTTTATAAAGCTATTGTCCTCCCAACCCTGCTATATGCCTGCACGACGTGGACAGTCTACAGACGTCACATGCAACATCTGGAATGATTCCATCAGCGCTGCCTCTGGAAAATCCTGCAAATCTCTTGGGAAGAAAAGCAGACAAATGTCAGTGTGCTGGAATAAGCAAAGACCACCAGCACTGAAGTGATGGTCCTCTGCCATCAACTCTGCATGTCTGACCACCATCTCCCAAAGCAGTTGCTCTACTCTGGACTCAAGAATGGAAAACGGAATGTTGGCAGGCAGGAAAAGAGATTTAAAGATGGGCTCAAAGCCAACCTTAAAAACTCTGGCATAGACACTGACAGCTGGGAAGCCCTGGCCTGTGAGCGCTCCAGCTGGAGGTCAACTGTGACGAGCAGTGCTGCAGAATTTGAAGAGGCACGAATGGAGGGCGAAAGGGAGAAACGTGCCAAGAGGAAGGCGCGTCAAGCCAACCCCGACCGGGACTGCCTTCCACCTAGAAACCAACGTCCTCACTGCGGGAGACGATGCAGATCAAGAATAGGGCTCCATAGTCACCTACGAACCCACCCTGGAAGATTATCCTACTTGGACAATGAGGGATCGCCTAAGTAAGTAAGTAAGTAAGTAAGTTCAACCAAAGCTTGGTTCTGTGCAACATGGGTTTTGAAAGACAAACCTTGGAAGGATGGGATTGGGGTCCTTTGTAGGCTGCCTTTCCTTATCCATACTTAACACTGTATTGAATTAACAGTTTGGTTTGGTATAAGGCAGCTTATATTCCTTGCCTCAGCTGCCAATTTCCCTAGTGGCTTTAGGCAATAAACCGGCCCCATCTCTCTATAACATAGGGATATAAATTGGTGCCAACTTTATAGAGCTGTTACAGAATAACAAGGCTAGCAACGCCTGCAGAGAAGTAACTTCATAAGCAAAATGGAATTAATTGTCCTGTTATTTAAAAAAAATGCAGAGTCAGAAACAAAAGGCAAACCTTACGCTTTGTCTGTGCGCACTTTATGCATTGCATTTAAACATGTTCCTGTAGAAGTGCCAGAAACTCTCAGTTCTTTCCCATTAACTTTCCCACCTTTCAAGCCAGATGTGCAGTTTAGGAAACAATTAGCTGCTTGTGACCCAAGCAGGTTACACACTTCCATGGTTCACAACATTCCACATTTACAGTGTTGTTGACACTGCTAAGGCAATGAACACACTCAAGAGACCCGTTTACAGGATTCTTCTAATGGACTCAGCTCCAGAGTTCTTCCAACAACTGCAAACAAAATGCTGAAGTTGCTGCTACGTATAGGTGCAGCCACCTCTTATTCAAACAACCAATGCTTGAAATCATAAAAACACCCAAGTGACATAAAACTATTCTTTTGAGATAGGCAGATGGTGTAAATAAAGGAAGCCCGATATTATACGGAGGTAAAAGGTAAAGGTTTTCCCCTGATATTAAATCAAGTCGTGTCCAATTCTGGAGGTTGGTGCTCATCTCCTTTTCTAAGCCGAAGAGCCGGCATTGCCTATAGACACCTCCAAGGTCATGTGGCCAGCATGACTGCATGGAACGCCGTTACCTTCCTGCTGGAGTGGTACCAATTGATCTATTCACATTTGCATGATTTCAAACTGCTAGGTTGGCAGAAGCTGGGGCTAAACAGCAGGAGCTCACGCCACTCCCCGGATTCAAACCGGTGACCTTTTGATCAGCGAGTTCAGCAGCTCAGCAGTTTAACCCACCGCGCCACCAGGAGCTCACAGTGTAGGTGCACCCAAAGAAGAAGCCCTGCCTAATCCTCTTGCAGAATCAAACTAGACCGACAAATGAAGTCTTATTTAAGCACTGCAGAGACAACCACATCCTACACTCTGCCTGGGGGCCACAATCTAACTTTGAAACCTATGGTACATTAAATTAGAATAATGGGCGGTGGTAGTAAGGGATGCCCTTTGCACCTACTGCCAGAGGCAAAAACTTCCTGGTGCCTAATTACAGGGCTGGCATTATTCAATCGTAAAATTAGTCCAGAGAATAATTTCCTACAACTTAATTGCAAGAATGACTTAAGGTAGCTTGGATTCAGACTTGCTATACTTCAGAGAAGATCCACTAATGGATCTTAAGTTATTTGAAGATTTCTATTCAAATAGCCATGTTATTCCATAGCAGCATTCCAAAGCAACTTGAGAACAAACTGCAGGTCGCTTCTGGTGTGAGAGAATCTGCCATCTACAAAGATGTTGCCCAGGAGAAGCTCGGATGTGTTACCATCCTGTGGGAGGCTTCTGTCATGTAGCTGCATGGGAAGCTGACAGATGGGAGCTCATGCCATCTTGCAGATTCAAACCACTGACCTTCAGGTCAGCAGCCAGCACAAGGGTTTCTCAACCTTCCTAATGCCGCGACCCTTTAATACAGTTCCTCATGTTATGGTGACCCTCAACCATAAAATTATTTTTGTTGCTACTTCATAACTGCAAGTTTGTTACTGTTATGAATCGCAATGTAAATATTTGATATGCAGGACGTGTTTTCATTTACTGGACCAGATTTGGCACAAATACCTGATATGCCCAAATTTGAATACTGATGGGGTGGGGGGGTTGATTTTGTCATTTAGAAGTTGTAGTTACTGGAATTTATAGTTAACCCACAATCAAAGAGCATTCTGAACTCCACCAACAATGGAATTGAACTAATCATGGTACACAGAACTACCATAGCCAACAAAAAATACTAGAAGGATTTGGTGTGCATTGACTTGAGTTTTGGAGTTGTAGTTCACCTACACCCAGAAAGCCCTGTGAACTCGAACAGTGATGGATCTGGACAAAGCTTGGCACAAATACTTTTTTGTTTTTTTTTTAATTGCTTGTATTGCTGTTTATTGCTTGTATTGTTGTGTTTGGGCTCGGCCTCATGTAAGCCGCACTGAGTCCCTTGGGGAGATGGTATTAACAAATAAAGTTAATAATAAATAAATAAATAAATACTCAATATGCTCATTATGGTGGGGTTTGCAGAAAACAGATCTTGACATTTGGGAGTTGTAGTTGCTGGGATTTGTAGTTCACCTACAATCAAAGGGCATTCTAAACGATAAAATTGGGCCAAATTTCCCACACAGAACCCCCATGACCAACAGAAACACTGTGTTTTCTGAAGGTCTTTGGCAAACCCTCTGACACCCTCTCATGACCCCACCAGGGGTCCCGAACCCCAGCTTGAAAAACGCTGGCTTAACCCATTGCACCACCATGAATCTAGCATCACCGTTATGACTTGGTTTTTTATAGCATGAGCTTTTGTCGATATCAGTCTATACATGGAAATAATATCTGGGATCAGGCATGACAAACATGAAAGTACAACTTGGGACATTAGCCATAAACTTTCTAATATTGCTTTCAATGGTTCTGCCTTAACCATGAGAGTTGCAGTTTTACAATATCTTTAGCCTTCTCTGTAAAACTTCTGGTACCTCACCAAATGACAATACCAGGGATTCATAATACTGAGCCATTGCCGTTCAAGTGGTGCCAAACTGTGTGAATTCTACAGTGCTGATACACCCTTGGATCATAGAATCATAGATTTGGAAGAGACCTCATGGGCCATCCAGTCCAACCCCCTGCCAAGAAGCAGGAATATTGCATTCAGAGCACCCCTGACAGATGGCCATCCAGCCTCTGTTTAAAAGCCTCCAAAGAAGGAGCCTCCACCACACTCCGGGGCAGAGAGTTCCACTGCTGAACAGCTCTCACAGTCAGGAAGTTCTTCCTAATGTTCAGATGGAATCTCCTTGGAACTAAACAAATACCAGGAACAAAGGGGACTAAACTGATCAAGGGTGCATCTACACTATAGTTTAACACTGAGCCATGATATTTATAGGGGTGCCAAACTTCATTCATGCTGCAGAGTGAATGCACCCAATTGAGACAGTGCATGCGCATTTGAAAGAGAGGGAGATGAAGAAATGGATGAGTCGGAAGTGCTGCCGGGTCTGTGAAGAGGAAGAGGAGGGTTGCTGAGATATTTGTGGGAGTGCTTCATGGGTCAGAAGGAGTTGCAAAGCAGCGTCAGCTTGAAAGGGGTGGAGGAGGAAGAAAGAGAAGGAAAGGGAAGCTACAGGTTGAGCCGGAATGATGCTCCCCATTGAAGCCTGCAAATGACAAGGGCACAGGCTTCACCTACCCAGGTAGGAAGGGTCACTTGGCAGATGCCCATACCCTACTTCCCCTTCCTATGGCTGCCACTGATTATTTCCCCCTGATAGAGGATAAGGATAGTTCCTGTCCTGCACCATAAAGCAGCCAAGGGAGGATACCTGTCTTATTAAATTGCTCCAGGATGGAAGGAGGCTGTGATCAATATAAACCTAAATAAGTGGCACCTTTTTAATGTCCGAAGAAATTCATGTACTAATGCTCTATTGCTTGTCCTCTTGCAAGAAAGCAAAGGTCGCAAATAAGTAAGTAGGATAGTAATTACTACTACAACAACAACAAATTTTTGTTTGTTATCTGCCTTTCCTAGAGACAGGATACAACACAGTCAAAGTGCATGGATAAAATCATAAGACCATTAAAACACATATCTTTAAAGACATAGGCATATGATTAAAACACATGGATAGAATCCTAGAATTGGAAGAGACCACTAGAGTCATCCAGTCCAGCCACCTTGATTAGCATTTAATTGCCTTGTGGCTTCAAAGCCTGGCTGGTTGCTGTCTGGTGGGATCCTTTGTTGGGAGGTGTTAGCTGGTCCTGATTGATTCTTGTCTATTTTTACATTGTTTTCATTTTTGTTCCGTTTTTAGGTACCTCGTGCCGTGTGTAAGCCGCCTCAAGTCCCTTTGGGGAGATGGTGGCAGGATACAAGAATAAAGTTATTATTATTATTAAAATACAAAGTAGCAGTGAAAAAACTCCATATAGTTTCACATCTCCTCATAGACTTTGTAAAGGGAGTTCTGTTCTTTGCTACTTAATACGGTAATAGTAACCAGCCACTCCCAAAGCAGCAGTTCTGTTGAAGCAATCAGTCTTTTTTTGCATCTGATGAATTATAGAATCATAAAGTTGGAAGAGACCTCATGGGCTATCCAGTCCAACCCCATTCTGCCAAGAAATGGCTATAAGGTTGATAATAATATTTTAAATTGATTTTAACCTAATGTTTTATTCATGGTGCAATTGCCCTGTTATATTTTGTTTTTGTATGTGTGGCATTCAATTGTTGCTGGTTATAAGCCACCCTGAGTCTCCCCTCAGGGCTTGAGAAGGAAAGGGTATAAATGTTCAAAGCATCCCCCAACAGATGGCCATCCAGCCTCTGCTCTCTTTTTTTGTCGTGTCAGGAGTGGCTTGAGAAACTGAAAGTCACTTCTGGTATGAGAGAATTGGTCGTTGGTTTGATGTTTTACCATCCTTATGGGAGGCTTCTCTCATGTCATAGAATCATAGAATCGTAGAATCAAAGAGTTGGAAGAGACCTCATGGGCCATCCAGTCCAACCCCCTGCCAAGAAGCAGGAATATTGCATTCAAATCACATGTCCCCGCATGAGGAGCTGGAGCTGACAGAGGGAGCTCACCCATGCTTTCCTCAGATTCAAACCTCCAACCTGTTGGTCTTCAGTCCTGCTGACACAAGTTTTAACCCACTGTGCCACCGGGGGCTCTGCGTAAAAGCTTCCAAAGAAGGAGCCTCCAGCACACTCCGGGGCAGAGAGTTCCACTGCTGAACAGCTCTCACAGTCAGAAAGTTCTTCCTGATGTTCAGGTGGAATCTCCTTTCCTATAGTTTGAAGCCATTGATGAAGTGGACTGGAGTCCACAAAAACATATACTACATATTTATTTTTCTCTGTTTTCTAGGTGCTATAAAATCCCTTGATTCCATTTTCAATTTATATTTTTTAAAAATCTGGAAAGATGGCTATCTTCTCTTTGCTGGGCTGTATCAATTTGACTAATTGAAAAGAAAAGCCAGTAGTGATTCATACCAAAGAACAAATGCTGGATATTATTTTTCTCTGCCCCACAGGTGGTCTCTGGTACTTGCTCAGTGTCTGTCTGTCTGTCGATGCTTTCTGTCCTGCTTCCCCCTCCCACTTCAGGCCTCCTTTTAAGCATTCTGACTTCAAGAGCCACGGCCTTGTCCACACGGAAGAGTGGCCTCATTGCTGTGAAATTTGTGGGAAGCATTTCAAGCAAGCCTCCAATCTAGGCGAACACCGCCGGATCCATTCAGGGGAGCGGTCACACCGTTGCGCTGCCTGTGCCAAGTGCTTCAAAAACCCCTACGAATTACAGAGGCACATGATAACGCACTGTGCAGAGTGGCCATTTGCCGGCAGTGCCTGTGGGAAGGACTTTGCAGCACCAGGGGCCCTTCTTCTCCATCAGTGGCAGCACTGTGATGACAAGCCCCACGCCTGTGGTGTTTGTGGCAAGAGGTTTGCCTATGGACACAGCCTGCGGGTTCACGAGAGGGTGCACACAGATGATCGGCCCCTTTCCTGTCCTCTCTGTGGCAAGGCATTCAAACAGTCCAATGCCTTGGCTTCACATGCACACAGGGGAGCGTCCCTTTGCCTGTGTGACCTGCGGCAAAGCTTTCAAGCAGTCATCGTATTTGGCTATCCATGCACGCTCGCATACAGGTGAGCATCCCTATGCCTGCAGGACTTGCAACAAGGCTTTTACACGCCCCTCACTGCGTTTGCAGCACCAGCGAGTTCACAGCACAGAGCGGTGCCAACACTGTGGCAAGCTATTTAAAAGCCTGGCATATCTGGCTGTGCATGAGAAGGTACACATGGGCCAAACTCCTTACCAATGCCCTGTCTGTCAGAAGGGCTTTGCCCATCCATCAAACTTACTGCAGCACCAGAGAATCCACCAAGATAGATAGGAAAAAATGGTGTGTGCCCTGATTAGTACTAACTGCCTAGACTAGTGGTTCTCAACCTTCCTAATGCCATGACCCCTTAATACAGTTCATCGTGTTGTCGTGACGCCAACCATAAAATTATTTTCGTTGCTATTTCATAACTGTAATTTTAGGAAACAAGGCATTTAAACGAATAGCTGCAACATATACTGCAAACACAAGGTTTTGCCTCTAGGAGGCATGGAGGAGTAAGTTCTTGAATCACTTCCTTCTGAGCAGAACTTTGCAACTCCATGGCAGTCAGAAAAGCATTAGTAAAGATTTCATCCCCAATCCAAAAGAGTGAAAGGACTGATAGAAGAAGGTATTGATACAGAGAAGCAGGAGACACTGAATTTGTTTCTGGAGAACAGTATTATGCCTTGTTGAAGGCTTTCATGGCCGGAATCACTGGATTGTTGTGAGTTTTCCGGGCTGTATGGCCATGTTCCAGAAGTATTCTCTCCTGACGTTTCGCCTGCATCTATGGCAGGCATCTTCAGAGGTTGTGAGATCCTCACAATACTGAGTTTGTCTGGTTACAATGAGGTTCCAAAAGCTTGCTTGAAGAGCCAGGTTTTTACTCTTTTCCTAAAAGTCAGGAGGGAGAGGGGCAGTCTAATATTCCCAGGAAGGGAGTTCCACAACTGAGGGGCCACCACTGAGAAGGCCCTATCCCTTGTCCCCACCAAGCGCTCCTGTGAGGCAGGCGGGATTGAGAGCAGCCTCCACAGATGATCTTAAATTTCTGGAAGGTTCGTAGGGGGAGACACATTTGGATAGGTAAGTTGGGACAGAACCGTTTAAGGCTTTATAGGCTAAAGCCAGCACTTTGAATTGTGCCCGGTAGCAAACTGGCAACAAGTAGAGCTAGCGTATTTTCTTGGCAATATTTGCCTAGCATTTTTTTAAAAATATTCTTTATTGAAATTTTCATACAGGGATATGGTTAATTCACAAGAAAAGGGGGGAAGGGCAAAGTGAGAGAGAGGAAAAAGACAAAAGGTATAAAAAAGTGAAGAAAAAAAACTAACAGAGAAATAAATAAAGAAAAACAAAAAGAAAATTGAATACAAAAAGAAGGCAAAGAACAAAAATAAAACAAAACAATAATAAATACTAAAAAGAAAGAAAATTTGACCCCCTGGTATCTTTGTGGGATCTTTCCAGTCAATTTTGTGTGTGTTTCTTCCGAAATTCTTCTTTCCCTCTTTTTGTCGTACTTCAGTCTTTATTTGTCATTCTCAAATTACTATTTCTTTATTCTTATTTTTTAAGTATTCTGTAACTTCACTCCAGTCCGTTTCTTTCCTGTTAATTTCCTTGTTCTTCATCAGTAGAAAGGTGAGTTTGTCTAAGTTCCTAATATCTAGCATTTTCGTTACCCATTCATTTTCTCCCGGAGTTTCTTCTTGTCTCCACATCTTAGCGTAGCACATTCTTGCGGCTGTTAATGTCAGGAACAGGATTTTGTCTTTATCTTTATCTAGATTTCTTTCATACATCCCCAATAAGAATATYTCCGGTTTCAAGGGTAACTGTATTTTTAACATTTTTTGAGTTTCCTTATGTATCTTTCTCCAGAACTCTCTTGCTTTTTCACACGTCCACCATAAGTGGAAGAAAGATCCTTCTTTACTTCTGCATTTCCAACACRCGGTGCTTGAGTTGTTATAGATTTTTCCCAGTTTTTTGGGGGTCAAGTACCATCTTTGAGATATTTTGACCCAATTTTCTCTAAGTTCTATTGCATAYGTAAACTTTAATCTCTTCTTCCAAATTTCCTTCCATTCGTCTCTTCTAATATTTCTGTGTATGTTTTCATTCCATCTTCTCATGTAGTTTTTCTCTTCCTCCTTTTCCAGGTACCAGTCTAGTAGTTTTTTGTAAATCTTGGTAATTAGCTTCTTGYCCGTTTCCATTATACTGTCCCAGAATTCGTTACCTTGTGCAAAACCTAATTTTTTATCTAATTTAAATTTCTCTTTAATCTGCCAGTAGTGAAACCATGTTATGTTTTTAATCCATTAATATTAACTCCTGTTGTTCTTTCATTTCTTTCTCCCCTTGTTTATCTTTCAAAATTTCTTTATATACAGGCCAGTCAGTCCATCCTAGGCATCTCCTTTGAGTCGCCTCGAGCGGTGAGACCCAGAGAGGTGTTTTGCTATACATTTTTAATTTATATTTGTCCCAGACTTTTAAAATTGCAGATCTTGTAAAGTGGTTCCCAAAGTTTTTTTCTTTTTCTTTCCCCTTA